GGGGGCTGCGATCTGTGAAACTGTCGCCACTTTCGAGGGCTGCTGGGGGGCCCAGCGGAGTGACGCCCTACGGGGATTCAGATTAGACCTCGCCATCCCTGGGGGGCTGCGATCTGTGAAACTGTCGCCACTTTCGAGGCTGCTGGGGGGCCCAGCGGAGTGACGCCCTACGGGGATTCAGATTAGACCTCGCCATCCCTGGGGGGCTGCGATCTGTGAAACTGTCGCCACTTTCGAAGGCTGCTGGGGGGCCCAGCGGAGTGACGCCCTACGGGGACTCAGATTAGACCTCGCCATCCCTGGGGGGCTGCGATCTGTGAAACTGTCGCCACTTTCGAAGGCTGCTGGGGGGCCCAGCACAGTGACGCCCACGGCGGATTCAAATGGGACCTCGCCATCCCTGGGGGGCTGCGATCTGTGAAACTGTCGCCACTTTCGAGGCTGCTGGGGGGCCCAGCGGAGTGACGCCCTACGGGGATTCAGATTAGACCTCGCCATCCCTGGGGGGCTGCGATCTGTGAAACTGTCGCCACTTTCGAGGCCTGCTGGGGGGCCCAGCGGAGTGGGCCCCACGGGGATTCAAATGGGACCTCGCCATCCCTGGGGGGCTGCGATCTGTGAAACTGTCGCCACTTTCGAGGGCTGCTGGGGGGCCCAGCACAGTGGGCACCCACGGCGGATTCAAATGGGACCTCGCCATCCCTGGGGGGCTGCGATCTGTGAAACTGTCGCCACTTTCGAGGCCTGCTGGGGGGCCCAGCACAGTGGGCCCACGGCGGATTCAAATTAGACCTCGCCATCCCTGGGGGGCTGCGATCTGTGAAACTGTCGCCACTTTCGAGGGCTGCTGGGGGGCCCAGCACAGTGGGTACCCATGGCGGATTCAAATGGGACCTCGCCATCCCTGGGGAGCTGCGATCTGTGAAACTGTCGCCACTTTCGAGGGCTGCTGGGGGGCCCAGCACAGTGGGTACTCACGGTTGATTCAAATTAGACCTCACCATCCCTGGGGGGCTGCGATCTGTGAAACTGCAGCCACTTTCGAGGCTTGCTGGGGGGGCCAGCACAGTGGGTACTCACGGCGGATTCAAAGGCTGCTGGGGGCTGCGATCTGTGAAACTGTCGCCACTTTCGAGGGCTGCTGAGGGGCCCAGCACAGTGGGTACTCACCGCAGATTCAAATGGGACCTCGCCATCCCTGGGGGGCTGCGATCTGTGAAACTGTCGCCACTTTCGAGGGCTGCTGAGGGGCCCAACACAGTGGGTACTCACCGCAGACTCAAATGGGACCTCGCCATCCCTGGGGGCTGCGATCTGTGAAACTGTCGCCGCTTTCGAGAGCTGCTGAGGGGCCCAGCACAGTGGGTACTCACCGCAGACTCAAATGGGACCTCGCCATCCCTGGGGGGCTGCGATATGTGAAACTGTCGCCACTTTCGAGGGCTGCTGAGGGGCCCAGCACAGTGGGCTTCCCGCACGTTTTTCTCCTGCTCTTCGCTCCCGTCTCCCCATGTCCTCTTCGAGCCTGTAGCTGTTGCCCTTCTTTCTTGTGTGGTTCTCCTGCGCATCATGCCATAGGCGCGTGTCCCAAGTAGCTTACATATCAAACAACGGATCCTGCAAGTTGATTGTCCATGCAAGTTTCGGTCAACTCCTCGTTTCCCATGATACAAATGGGTTGGGTACGTCACAGGGTAATTTATATTCTTGAATGTGCCTCCTGCAGGGGGAAATACCAGAGTAAACACTACCTTTCTGTGCCAGCGCCGTGCAGAACGAAAGCACTGAGAAACAGACCGCGCACGCAGACACAACTGGACCCAGTGCAGGACGCGATGCGCACAAGCATACATAGACAGGCCAGAAGGGCGAGATATGGAGGGAAAGGGAGTGACGTGAGAGACAAAACAACTGAAACAGAAAACGCATAATGCATATCAATATCAGCCACCGTGCCTTTGGCACGACGTGGAGTGCCCGAATGTTCACTGCCGTGCTGCTGCTGCTGCTGCTGCAGCTAAAACCGGACCAGAGCGCCACTGTTCCCGGCCTTTTCCGGGGTCTCCTAGAGAATTAATTCCCTGTGATTCGGAGTCCCCAGACGGTGCGGTGACGGACCGTGCGGTGACCCCGAAATCCCCCAAGACCTCACCGCACGGTCCGTCACCGCACGGTCTTGGGACCTCGGAGGCCCCAGTCGCCCGAGACGTCCTCGGAGAACGGCCTGAGTCCCAAAACTGTGCGGTGACCCCGAATCCCCACCGACTCACCGCACGGTGTGGTCACCTCACCGTTTGGGGGCCCCCGAGTTCTGGGGCGTTTACTGACAGTCATCTGGACCCAAGACGACCTCCCGAAGCCTTCGATGTGTCCAGGGGGGCTCCGATTGGCCGAAAGACCACTCCAAGACGCCAAACATGGCCTCCAGACAGAACTGCCATTTCGAGCTCTCCGCCCCAAGGGGGCCCCAGAAGGCCCAAAGAGGCCCACAAAAGGCCTCCAAGAGGCCCCAAGAAGCCCGGAAGAGGCCTCCAGGAGACGCCTAAGAAGCCCCCAGGAGGCCCCCAAGAGACCACGAAGAGGCGTCAAAGCTGCCCCCCCAGAGGCCACTGAGAGCCATCCGAAGAGCCCCCAAGAAGCACCCATGAGGACAACCCAGACATCGTGGCGGGATGGGTCGAACGCCACTAGATCCGCCGCCCCCTGTGCTCTTGTCACAGGGGTGCCAAGCGTGCTAGACGTCTGATGCTTCGACCACCCAGAAGGCCGCACAATCCGCCGAAAAAATGCCCAATAGCTTCCAAGACGGTCGGGATGGCCCAAGATGGCCTCTAAGTTCGTCCAAGACGGTCCAAGATGGCCTCCAAGAAAGCCCAAGAGGTCCAAGATGCCTCGAGGTTCGCCCAAGAAGCCGCCAAGACAGACCAAGATGGCCACCAAATGGCCCACGACGGCCCCAGAGGCCCCCAAGAGGCCTCCAAGACGGCCCCAGAGGCATCCAAAAGGTCCTTCCTCCAGAAAAGCCCGAAGAGGCCCAAATCTGTGACTTTCCGCAGGTTGTCGGAGCATTTGGGCATTGGCTGGCCCAAGACGGCCCCAGATGGCCCCATCGTCGCCCCAAGAGCGCTGCAGAGGCCTCCGAGATGGCCCCTATGACGGCCCTAGGGTCCCCCAAGACGGCCCAAGGCGTCTCCAAGACACCCAAGATGGTCCCCAAGACGGCCGTGGAGTACCCCGAGGGGGCCCCCAAGGCGGTTCAGAGAGACCTCCCAGACGGCGGCAGGCGAGCCCGGAACGCTCTGAGACGGCAGAAGAGGCCCCCCAAAAGCCCCCAAAAAGCCCCCAAGAGGCCCAGGGAGACCAAGAGGCCTCCAAGAAAGAGGTCGCAGGAAGCCCCAGAGAGACCCCCAAAGTGTCCCAAGAGGCTCCCAAGAAGCCTGCTCCTCGTCCAGTATCGTCCCACTCCTTCTCTTCTCATTTCTCCCCTACGTGTTCCTCGAAGGGTTTCCACAACGACTTGGGGAACACATAGTCCGATAGCTTGGCCGAGCTCTGGCCACAACAATCGGCCACATAGGCGCTTCCAAAAATGCAACGGGCGGTTGTGATTCGCCGTATACGTCTTCGATCCGCCGCCCCCTGTTGATTTCCCAAAGGGGTACCTGGCGTGCTGAATTTCTGGAAGGTTCTGCTTCTTTTCTAAAAAACTCCTAGTAGGCTTCGGCCCAATGGCGTTTCCCCCCCAAGACGGCCCATGGATTGCCTCCAAGACGGCCAAGATGTCTCCAAGACGGCCAAGATGGCCTTCAGGATGGTCCCAAGACGTCTCCAAGACGGTCAAGGCGACCCTAGAACATCCCAAGATGTCCTCCTGACGGCCCAAGAGGCCCCTCAGACGCCCCACGAGGTCCATACGAGGAATGATGGTAGCGTTCTCGCCTTTGCGGGCTTCCGATGCCACAAGACGAGCCCGTAGGTTCCAAAGATCGCTTTAAGACGGCCCAAGAGGCTCCCAAGAGACCCGCAAGACGGCCTAAAAGGGCCCGAAGACAGCCTAGGAGACCCCTAAGAGGCCCAAGAGACCTCCAAGATGGCCCTAAAGACCTGCGACTGCCCAGGGAGGGCCCAAGACGGCATCTGAAGGTAAAGATGCCACTTAGACGCCCCAAGAGGGCTGCAAGAGGATTTCCAGGCGGCCAAAATACTTGACTTGTCTTAGGTGCCTCTCTGATATTGACGTTCTCACCTATTCCGTCTTCCGGTGCTCCATGACGCGCCCGTGGGCCCCCAAGATCACCCCAAGACGGCCCAAAAAGCCCCCAAGAGGCCCCCAAGAGGCCCCCGACGGACCAAGAGGGCCTCAAGACAGCCCAAAAGGCCCCCTGGATGGCCAAAAGACTACCCAGAGAACTCCAAGACGGCCCTAAACCGGCCCCCAAGACGGCCTCCGCAGGCCCAGAGGTCCCACAGAGGCCCCCAGAGGCCCCTAAGAGGTCCCCACGAGGCCCCAGGGGAACCCCAAGAGGCCCCAGGATGCCCCCAAGAGCCGCCTCAGAGCCTCCCCCAAAGCTCATGGGAAGCCCCAAGGAGGCCTCAAGAGGACCTCCTCTTCTTCCTCCTCCTCCTCCTCCTCCTCCTCCTCCTCCTCCTCATCCCTCTCCTCCTTCTCCTTCTCATTTCTTTCCTCCCCCAGTGTTTCTCAAGGGGTTCCACAACGCCTGGGGGAACACATCGTCTCATAGCTTGGCCAGATTTCGGCTGGGCGTTTCCAAAAGGCGGGGGGCGGCGGTGATTCGTCGTAGGCGTGCGTCTTAGATAACATTTTAGGGGGAGGGGAGAGAGAGAGAGAGACAGAGAGGGGGGAACAAAGACATGAAAGAGAACACTCACGAGAGAAAGAGAGAGAGAGAGAGGCGTGAGACATACGGAGGGATTCAGGACAAGTGGAGGCTGCCCACACCCCTGCTCTCTACTCCATGCTCACATATCTGGGATGCAGCCTCGTCCAGCGTCGAACTTCCACCCGCCCTTGCTCCTCGAGATTATCTGTTTTCTTCAATGGCTGCAAAAGGCAACGAGGTGTTCCTAGCCCGGACACACTCTACATACATGATCTGACCGAAGTCTCGATCGAACAAGTCGAACGGGTGCAGCAACCCTCCAATCGGGTCTCGCAAATCTCGCGCGCACAACACCACCACCCTTACGAGCCCTGCCTCGACACGTCAGACACGGCTGCCCAACCAATGTGCGCAGCGGGCTTGAAAGCCGGAGCTCACAAGTCGTGGCCCTCGAAGAAACCTTCGCAGATAGGCGCATTACAATAGGGGCTTGACCACGAGAAACCTTCTACAAGAAGCCCAACCCTGAGACCCTAGGGCGTCCATGGATTCATGGTATGGGAACGTCACGCTCTCCATCGCAAAACCATCGAAACCCAAGAAACCCAGGGCACCTTGGAAGTGAGCAGGGTGTCTCTTGGCATGGGCCCCCACTGGAAACACCCGTGACACATGTCCCAAATCACTCCTGACACAAGGCGGAGTGAGGAGGAGGGAGGGAGGAGGAGGGAGGGAGAGAGGGAGGGAGGTAGGGAGGGAGAAGGGAGGAGGGAGGAGGAGGGAGGGAGGGGGAGGGAGGGAGGGAGAGGAGGGAGGGTGAGGGAGGAGGGTTGGAGGAGGAAGGGAGGAAGGGAGGGAGGGAGGGAGGGAGGAGGAGGTAGGAGGAGGAGGAGACGAGGCGACTCCCAAAACGCCCCCGCCTGCGACAGGCAGTGGCGGCATGAATGGAGTACTGGGTACCCAAGACATGGACTCTGAAGAGTTTAGAACACTTCGCGGTGACGCGGAGCTGCGACAGCCGACGCCTCCCGCAGCGGGCCTGCGCAGCCTCATGAGGGGAAACCAAGACCGCGGTGCCTGGGCGTGCGCTGTGGCGCACGCGCCGCGCACCGCCAGAAGCTCCGCCACCGCGCCCGCTGGCACGCTGAGCAGAATGCCAAGAGCTGTCTGTCGGGATCCACCGAAGCAGAGGGCAAACTATCCACCCCCAGAATGATCCCCCCCACACGCGAAGCCGTTTAGCAAACGCATCCACCGAAAGAATCGAACAAGGCAGGGCTGTTTCGTAACCGCGCAGAGCCGTTTAATAAGCGCCACTTGTCGGGTCCAGGTGGTTGTGCCTCCCTGGACACAAGGGAGGTGACCCTGAGGGGGAGCATGAGTTCGATCCGCTGGTGCACCGAACCGCCGCAAACAGATGCCCCCCCGCATGCCCTGCCTATGGGGAACTAATCGGGAGCTGCCTGCGGCTGGTGGGCATCTGCTGTTGGCGGTTCGGTGCAAAAACCGATCGAACTCTCACACCCACACACACAAACACACACACACACACACACACACACACACACACACACACACACACACACACGCGGCACACACACACACACACACACACACACACCCTTTGCGGGATCCAGAGTCTGGGAGGGCTTCCGAAGTCTTCTGAACCCCCCCCCTCTCATCACTCGGGGATTTAGGCTTTGGGCTTTGCAGGACCCCGCAAGCTCCTTCAGGATCCTGCAACATGTTGCACTCAAGCCCGGGCCAATGCACCCCTGGCTCTGCAGGATCCTGAAAGATCCGGGGCTCTAGCTGACCCTCGTTTGCATTGACCCCCACCGCTACGCGCGCGCGCTGGCCCTCTCCCCCGAGACTCCACTGGCGGCCCGACGCATCCCTGGGGACGCCCTCCAAGGCACCTCGTGGCTTACAAGACGGCCCAGCAAGGCCGCCAAGACAGCCAACAACATTACCCAAGGACGCACCCAAGTGCCCCCAAGAAGCACCGAACTGTCCCAAGATGCCTCCAACAGGCCCCGAGGAACCTCCAAGAGTAGGCTCTTCGAGAGGCCCTGGAGTGACCAAGGGCATCTTGGATGTCCTGAAAAGAATTAACCTATGTGCTTCGCTGTCCACCTCTGGCCTCGCTCCTCTCACCTGCCCCCTCCCTCCTCCCTCCTCCCTCCTCCCTCAATGCCCAGAATCGGATCGACAAGTCGGACCGGCGATCGACGCGAATCGGATCGGCAGAGCCCGGCAGCCACGACGTGAGAGAAGTTGGATGGGCATGACACCGGCAGGCAGATGACTGGGCCTCCGTTGCTAAAAGTCGGAGCCCGGGGTCGGAATCCGAAGCCGAAACGAGCCGGCATCGGAAGCTGTCGAAGTCGGGGGGAGGAGGAGGAGGAGGAGGAGGACGAGCAGGAGGAGGAGGAGGAGGAGGAGGAGGATGAAGAGGAAGAGGAGGACGAGGAGGAGGAAGAGGAGGAGGAGGAGGAGGAGGAGGACGAGCAGGAGGAGGAGGACGAGCAGGAGGAGGAAGAGGAGGAATAAGATGAGCCGAACCAGGGGAGTCGAGACCAGCCCTCTGCCTCCCTCCCCGCTCCTCGGTCGAGGGGCGGCCCCCCTTGCTCGGGACCCCCTCCCTGGCCATCGCTCGGACGCCCATTCCCTGTGTTTCTTGTCTGTTTCGTGTGTGGTTTTTTCGTCAAATGATCAAGGATGCTTCTCGATGGTCCTCGCCGAAGGAAAAATGCACACGTCCGAGCGATGCCAAGTTCCTTCTCGGCACCCCCTTTTGCCGTTCGGGTGCACCCAGGAGGGCCCGCAGAGCGGCGAATCCGAATTCGTTGCGCCATGTCGTTCGCCCCCCTCGTGCCCCGAGTGCAACTCTCCGCTCCCCCCTGCAGTGGCAACTCGTGGGAGCCTCCCATACCATCTTGTCGGCTCCTGCGAGGCGACGCTGATCGACGCGAATCGCGCTCCCGCTAAAACGCTGGCCTTATTTCCGCGTTTCTGGTCGTGCCGAACCGCGCTACAGCTGCAGCGCTGGCTTCATTTCCAGTGCCATTCCACGGCATGCAATTCAGTGATATGTTGTGTCCCGCTGTGTGATGCCATGCCTTTGATCTTCAACGCCACGCTATGCCATGCATTGCTACGCCATGCAACGACGCCTGACTGTGCGAATAGGAGAAAAGATCTTCGCCATGGTAAGGAACGGGAGGGAGGGGTAGGACGTCAGATGAGACGTTTGCGCACGCAGCTTGCCCCCTCCCCTCTCCCCTGACCTGACCTGACTCGTGGCGGTCGAACGTCGTCGTACAGCCACATGTCCTGCCCCTCCACCTCGGCTGGGTGCCCGAGGTGGAGGGAGGGTGCATTCGGGAAAATCCTTCTCCCCCCCTCCCTTCTGACTACCTACCAGACCACCCCAATCCACTGGAAATGGAAGGCAAAGTGAGACCTTCGGATTGGGTTGGGGTGGTTTGGTGGGTGGTGACCTCCTCCCCCCCTCCCCTCCTCCGCCCCTCCCCCCCTCTCAGGTTGCCCATCCTTCCCATGCACCGGGAGCGGCCAAAATGGGGGTGTCCAAGAGGGGGTGGTGCAATTCATGACCGGCGGCACGTGCGCGGCCCAGCGGGGGGGCCAGGGACGTAATGAAGCAAGAAGAGGCGCCATGAAATCTGGAGACATGCCATGGCCCGCGCCATGATATCCACCCCTCCCTAATCATCACCCCCCTCTTTGCCGCCCCCAAATGCAGGTTGACTTTAACCTCCCCCGGGATGCCTTCGGTGCCACCGCAAGGGGCGCACAACAGCGAGGAGCGAAGGGGCGCGTCTGGCCAGTGCGGGCCTGGGCCGCCAGCAGCTCCCACGGCACAGATCCGGGTCCCGCGCGAGCTCCAGGCAAAGGCCCTCAAGGGGAAGCTTGAAGAAGGTCCGACACCTGCTCAAGAGGGCAGACCGCAATCGACTCAAACCTACGGCAGCTCGGGTGGAGGCACAGTTGCGAGCCCTCCTCGGTGATGATGCTGCACTTACCACGACTCATTTCAAGGCTCCTCCCAACAAGACCATCAAACTCCTAGAATCGGACTGGGGAGCGGCGCCGCTGCGGGCAGCGGCGCCCTTGTCCGATAGGACGTACTCCACGGAACCAGTGATCATATCAACTACGCTCACAGAGTTTGGCTAAACTAGACAATGACCCGCGATCAGTTGTGGAACGGCTGTGACAATTGTTACTTTTGATCTTGCTTCCTCCATCGAGGGCGCTGCCACGCAAGAGGTGATGACTGCCACGGACGCCGGCAATGCAATTCGACTTGCGCAGGTACTCCACGCGGGGGGTAAAGCGCCCAAGCCAGCTGGCCTCCCAGAGGGGGTCAAAGATGACGCCGAGCACGAGCCGCCGACGAGCGCCCCGCAGGCCCTGAGGCGGACGCGCGCGCGGACGGCGGACGCGCGCGAAGAACTATGAAAGTGAGACCAACACGCTGCTTTTTCATCCAAGACAGCAAGGTACACGCGTTCCTCGGCTTGAGCTGCCACAGAAGATTTCGCGCAACTATCAGAGGTCAACGCTTATGCCGAGCTGGCTCATTATCGGAACCGACAGGACTCACCTAGCATACTGGGCAAGAGGTGCTCCTCTCTGTCCAATTGAGGGGCGGATAGTGCACCGACCACCCAGCAATGCATCCCTTGGGTTACTTAGCAAAACGCATGTCGTTAGTGCCCCCCAAAAAAAACATTGGCAGTCCAACGTGCACCTCCTGAGCGGGTTGGTCCAAGTGATCTCTCATGATTGGCCGCGCAGCGGGGGTTTACCACTGTTGGCCCCATTGCGCGCACTGGCAGACGACCTTGGTTCTCCAGGGCGGACTTGGGCGCCGCTCGGACTCGTAATAATCGCGCGCATTCATTCTCAAGCGGGATCATTGCATCAGCCGCGAAGGCCCCGACTCCTCGGACTGGCGCAACTGACAAGAACTCCATTCCAAAGGCGGCCAGTGCGCGGGGCACGGCTGCGCCCCAGCATGTCCCCGGTGACGACGACGAATTGATGGGCGCTCCGCCCCTACCTCCCGCCGCTGGCTCCAGCGACAGCGCGGCGCCAAGGACAACCCCTAGGATGCGCCGCGCTCTCCTCCGTCAGGTGACGGGCTCCCTCAGAAGCAAGCCAAAGG